CCAGAACTAAAACTATGACCAGCACTGCTATAAGGATACCTCTCCAGTTTCGTTTTGTAGTGTTACTAGAAACCAACTGGAAAGAAGAAAAAATTGATCTATAATTATATGCCAATTAAACCTTTTTTGTAAGCTAATAATAGTTTTAGATGTTGGCTATGACCTGGACTAATTATATCAAATATGTGGGATACAGTGCCATATAGTGTATGGAATTATTACAATTATTTTAATATATCAATTTTCCTACAGAAGTCCTTATTCCTTTATATGGATTGCAATAACATGTCAAAACCAGGTCACGAGACAAACGCAAATCTTCAGAATGAAATTAATTCCTAATTACAAAGATATGATCATCAGAATCGGTATGTGTGCCTTGTTAAAATAATTCCGCCTGAATTAACATCTTAATTTAATCAAGTTAGATGAGAAACCATTATGGAATTGATACTGAGTTTCTGTACTCCGTTAGTAATTTATTTGATACAAGTTATGAAATTTCACAAACCCATATGCTAATATTAGTATTGGTTACCCAAGACAGTAATTCATAAAGGACTTGCATATTTAGATTTTAAATTGATTCTTTTTCAATGAATCATCCCATTTCTATGATATCATTATTTATCATATATTATCTTATCATCTAAGCTTATCATTTATTTGATAATATGGATACCAAAATCAATTTTTGGCAAAAACTTATACTCACAATTTTATCACTCTTCAGTTGTACTTCAAACCGAAATCAACTGGAGACGTCAATAACTTACCTTTTGTTTTACTAAGCTTTTACTTGTTAAATACAAAAATATAGTAATTATGGATAATCTTTATGATTATTTTGGTAAAAGTGATGAATCGAAAAGGTACGTTGAAGAACATGGTTTGACGTCAGAGTCAAGGTGAGTAGTAATTTTTCAAGTACCTAAATAATATATAATATATATTATATTTTTTTATAGTTTGATATCTATATTATAAATATCAAACTATACGATTTAAAATATTTAATTAAATGTATATTTTATTTTAGATTAATAATTATAGTTTATTTTATATAATATTGACATAATATAGAGAATTGCTTAATTATCAATATTTAATTTGTTTACAAGACCAGCAATATTTGACACCCGTGATGCTGCTCCATTTGCTCTACCAAGAGCATATGTAACAGGTCCATGTTTAAGCTCTGACGAAAGTTCAAACAATAGTAGGTAAGAACAAAAAAATTATCTTAAGAATCTTTAATTAAACATAATAATTCTATATTTAAA